TCATTTGCATTTTTGATATTCAGAATAAATATTAATATATAAATATAACTTTTAACTAAAAACATAAAATTAAATGTATTCAATCAGGCGTTTAATTTTGAGTAAGTTTCCTGAACATAAAATAACATGATCGGTCATGGCGGCCCTTATACCGCTCGCCTGATTATGAAGGCTTAGTTCCAAATTGCAGGATATTTGGACTGGAACAGTTTCCCCTAGAGTGTTGGGGCTGTGTGACCTAGTATTTGACCCTAGGTAACCCATATTTGAACTTGACCTTGAAATCATCAAAACAATGTTTTCGACCACTTTTCAAGAAATTTGGTCTGAAACTGTAGCCCCAAGTGTTTACAACGTTCTCTATACTTAGGCTGTGTGATCTAGTTTTTGACCACAGATGACCCATATACAAACTTGACCAAGGGATCATCAAAACATTTTTTTGGACAATTTCCAGGATATTTGGCTCAAAACTGTAGCCTCTAAAGTGTTAAAAAGGATATTTCATAATTAGGCTGTGTGACCTTACTTTTAACCCCAGGTGATCATATTCAAACTTGACCTTGAAATCATCATTACAATCTTTCTGACTAATTTCCAGGATATTTGACTCAAAACAGAAGCCACTACAGTGTTAAAAAGGTGTTTCCATATAAAGGCTATGCTACCTAGTTTTGAACCCAAGTGACCCATATTTGAACTTGACCTAGAAATCTTTCTCATCTATTTCCAGGATATTTGGACTGAAAACAAGACCCTTTGAATGTTAACAAGGTATTCAATATTTGGGCTGTGTGATCTATTTTTTGACCAAAGGTCACCCATATTCAAACTTACCATGAAATCCTCATGACCAATGTCCAGGATATTTGGACTGAAACAATAGCCCCTAGTATGTAAACAAGGTTTCTCCTTATTTTGGCTGAGTGACCTAGTTTTTCTTTACCGACCCATATTTCCAGTACACACCAGCTAGTGTAAGACTGGACCCTTCAGATGATATTTGGACCGAAACTGTAGCCTCTAAAGTGTTTACAAGGTTATTCCATAATTAGGCTATGTGACATTATTTTCGACCCCAGGTGACCCATAATCAAACTTGACATTGAAATCATCATTACTGTCTTTCTGAACAATTTCCAGGATATCTGAATCAAAACATTACCCACTAGAATGTTAAATAGGTCCTTCCATTTAAAGGCTGTGTGACCTAGTTTTGACCCCAAGTGACCCATATTTGAACTTGACCTAGAAATCAACAAAACAACCTTTCTCTCCCATTTCCAGGATATTTGGACTGAAAACAATCCCTTAGAATGTTAACAAGGTATTTGGGCTGTGTTACCTAGTTTTTTATCCATATTCAAACTTTACCATGAAATCATCATGACAATCTTTCTGACCAATTTCCAGAATATTTGGACTGAAACAATAATCCCAAGTGTGTTAACAAGGTTTCTCCATATTTTGGGTGAGTGATCTAGTTTTTCTTTACCCCAGGTGACCCATATTCGGATTTGATCTAGAAATTATCAAAGCAACCTTTCTGACAAATTTCCAAAATATTTGGACCAAAACAGTAGCTTCAAGAGAGTTAAAAATGAGAGTCAATGCGATCTAGTTTTTGGCTCACGGTGACCCATATTCAAACTTAACCTAGAAATCATCAAAGTTCTTACCAATTTCTAGGATATTCGGATGAAAACAGTAGACTCTGGAGTGTTAACAAGGTTTTTCCATATTGGGATGTGTGTCCTAGTTTTTAACCCTAGGTAACCCATATTTGAACTTGACCTAGACATCATCAAAAAAATATTCTTTCTTACCAATTTTCAAGGTATTTTGATCAAACAGTAGCCTCTTATTTGTAAACAAGGTTTTTCCATATTTGGGCTGTGTGGCCTATTTTTTGACCCAAAGTCACAGTATATTATTATATTATATTATTAATACTATTGATAGATTGAACAAAAATGCATTTGTGAAAAATGCTTTGCAACCGCATTATTAAGAAGTAGATTGTTTTTGTTACTTTACAATTGAACTTTGCCATAATGCAGTAATGTGTAGTGAATTTGGGGGTAAAAGTCATGTTTTAGCATGTCAAATCATGACGCACATGTGCAGGAGTGTCTCATGTTAAGATACAAAGGCCATATTAAAAAATAAAATATTTTTTATCGACAACAAATAGGTATTAACTGTATAACGTAGCTCTATTTAACTTTGAAATGCAGGTACATTGAACTCTTTTTTTTAAACCATCTTTTCATTTGAGCATTACCAATTTCTAAAGACATAATCATTATTATAAACATGGTGTGAATCACAATGACCTTATACTATGCTAAACATGGTGTGAATCACAATGACCTTATACTATGCTCAAATTGTTTTATTTAATATCTCTACAAAGTTCACAACTGTCGTGCTAGAGTTCATGACCTGAATCATGTCATAAATATCTCTGAAAAAAACCACGACCTATAGACTTACTCCAAGCTATTGAATGTTTTACATAAAATTGTATTAGACATTCCAATGTAAATTGTTTCCTTTCACACAAAAAGATTTTTTAAATTTTTATGTACATAATGAAAATCAATGACCCCGGGACGGGGCCAATTAATTTGAACAGCGCTATAACTTGAACAATCTTGGTAGAGGTCCACTACACAATGTTTCATGACAAATAACTAACTTCTAGCCTTTATCAATTCCGAGAAGAAAATTGTAAAGTTTTTATAACATACACATAAGGAAAACCTATGACTACCCGGGCCGGTCCAATTTTGATACTAGGGGCAGAATTTGGATAACTTTGGTAGAATACCTATGGATGATATTATATACAAAATATCAAAGCTCTTAGCCTTGTACCTTCAGACAAGAAGATTTTCAGGTTTTTAATTTTTGTACATAATTAAAATCAATGCCCCCGGGAAGGGCCAATTTTTACCCAAGTGCTTTAATTTGAACTATCTTGTTAGAGGTCTACTACACAATGTTTCATGCCAATTTGCCAAATATCTAACCTCTAGCTTTTGTCAATTCAGAGAAGAAGGGTTTTTTTTTAAAGAGTTTTCTATATACATAATAATATGGAAAACCTAAGACCCCCCAGGGCGGGGCCAATTTTGACACTAGAAGCAAAAATTTGAGGACCTATATAAAATTATGGTATCATATACCAAATATCAAAGCTCAAAGCCTTGTACCTTAAGACAAGAAGATTTTTAGCTTTTGCGATGACCCATTGTCGTCCATCATCCGTGCGTGCGTGTGTGTGTCGACAATTTCTTCAAACAACTTCTCCTCCTAAACCACTTGGCCAAATTTGTTGAAACTTTGCAGGGATGTTCCTTGTTTAAGTTTTTAAAAAACGTACAAAGTGAAAATCAATTACCCCCAGGGCGGGGCCAATTTGGACCCCAGGGCTATAATTTGAACAACCTTGGTAGAGGTCTACCAGACAATGACTTATGAAAAATATCTAAGCCCTAGGCCGTGTGGGTCTTTACAAGAATTTTTTTATATTTATTCTTTTTCCTTTTGGTTGCCACGGCAACCAGATTTCTGCATGAAATCAATTCCATTCACCCAAGAAACAATCCTGCTAAGTTTGGTAAAAATTGGACTAGCGGTTTTTCACAAGAAGATTTTTTATGTTCACTATATAATCTATATAACACTTACACACGCACACACACACGCACGCACACACGCGCGCACACACACACACACACACAGGTGAATCGCAGATGCTGCGGTGGCATAAAAATCATTGTACAATTTCCAGGATATTTAGACCAGAAAAATAGCCCCTAGAGTGTTAACAATGTTTTCCAATAAGACTGTGTTACTAAGTTTTTGACCTCATGTGACCTATATTCAAACTTGAACTTAAAGTCAACAAGGAACATTGTAACAAATTTGAAGGATATTTGGATAAAAAAAATAGCCTCTAGTTTGTTTACAAGGTGTTTACATAGTTGTTCTGTTTGACCTAGTTTTTTTACCTCAGGTGATCCATATTCGATTTTGACATTGAAATCATCAAAACAACCTTTCTGACAAATTTCCAGGATATTTGTATCAAAACAGTAGCCACTAGAGTATAACAAGACTTTTCTATTTTTAGCTCATGTGACGCACATTTTGACCCGAAATGACTCGTATTCGAACTCGACCTGTACTTCATTGAGACAAACATTCTGACAAAGTACGGTTATGATATCACCAAACTTCGTGTGAGCTAAAAACAACTCAATTTCAACTATATCAAATGAATAAATAGTATACATTTATTTTACAAAACACAATTATTCATGTTCAACAACACTGACTATATATTTATCAGTAATAATTAGTATCAGTATAAATACTTTTCAAAGAACATCAACTGTTAAAATTAATAAAAGAATCGAGTACACTTATGGAATGGTATGACTAGTATTTGAATTTAATAATAGATTTTAATATATTTTTGATAATAGAATTTATTAAAACTTTGCATAGTCCTAGATATCAGAAAATATCTAAGTTAAAAAACAAAGTTGGCCCAATAAACTCTCTTGCCTGGACAAAGTTTTGTTGCAATTTTTTTTCCAAGGAAGATTATACAAATTTGCCAATTTCAGAAAAATTTTCATTTGTTAATGTCAAGAAGAAAAAAAATAAACAAACTAGGCTTCGCCAATTCTTGAAATTTTTCAGACTCACCAAATAGAAAAGTCTAGTACATATAAAAATAAAAATAAAGCGTTGCTGTTGCTTACCTTGATTGTGAATAATCTGCCCTTGAAATAAGCAAAAATCTTCAATTTCAAGGACAGTATCTCGAAAAACAAGTTCAGTGACCCCCACTCTATTTTAAGCTTAAATATATTTTGTTCTGTATTCTTAGATAATAAAAAATTGAAATCTGGTAAATAACACATTTTTTTGTTCTTCAAATAAATTCGAAGCATACGCCTTTAATAAATTTCATAAATCTTTACCTTATACCGATAACGCACGGGTATTTTGAAGCAAGTACTGTTTTTATTTCTTTGACATCGTCAATTAATGATTGCGTACATTCTTGATATATGTCAGAACCAGCTATGAGTACTGCAGCAAAGGTATGCCCTGCAGAAAGATAAGAATGAATTTTAGCATATGTTAAAGATCCTGTATGTTTTGTGATTGATATTGTTACTGTGTGTATACCACACTTGCAAAAAATTATAAATGTATATAATTATGCAAATAAAACAATGTTCAAACATAAAAAATATGTAAAATGTGTACAACAAAGATTTGTGCACATTATATTTAATCAATAAATTACATGCATTCATTTCTTATTAGAAAATTTGACTAAGAATTTATAGAAAATAAATTTCTAATAACCTCCCTTTATTTACATAAAATGTTATATTGGGTAATATCTTTATAAATAATGCTTATTTAAACTTACAATATTGACAAATATCTTAATTTGAGCATCATATTTATGAAATAAAACAATGAAAAATATGTGTTACAGGATCTTTTATGATAAGTGATGTTTTAACAAGGAATATTACACGTGTTTAGCGGCTGTCAGTAGAACAGTTGGTTTCGGGTAGAGCAAAAGGATTTTAAAATTGACATAAAAGAACATATCTTGTGAATCCGGTTTAAAACTGGCATTCATGGAGCGTAATGTGTTGAAAAAATTATATGAAATGTACTATCAATGCGATATTATATAATTATGAACTAGTGATCCATTGAATATGGTGTGATTATTCACCGGCAGATGACATATTGACCAAAGCGATAGCTATTCGAATACGATCGGGTCGAAAAAAAGTTGCGGTATTGAACAGCTGAGAAAAGAACCATTTGACAGCTTGAATTGATGTTAGCTTGATTAATTCTTGAAACAAGTGTACGAGTATTTAACACACTTGTCGTAAAACTTAAGTTTTGTTCTGATTATACGGTTATAAATAAATAAATAATTTTTCAACCCTTATCTTAAAATTTTACTACGCTACATTCATTTATATATATGTATATTGTACCGTTGGAATGCTCGCAAAAGGTTTAAAAAAGCTTTATATTATTAAAGATTGTTGACAGTTATATACGTGTATAACGTGTCAACAATCTTTATAACGAATTTATAAATCAGCAAGCATCATTCTTAAGAGAAAAAAGTAAGATTTCTTCATGAATTGACAACAGTCGTGTATATAAAACTATATAAACGCAACGATTATCCAATGAAAAGCGACGTTACAAACGTGCAGTATTATAAAAGTTAAAGTAACAAAAGCATTCAGTTATGACATGTCTCGTCTCATGATAACCAGGGGCATGTTGCCGCTACATTGGAGCATGAAATACGAAAAACAGGGCAAAATGCGTTTTTTATTCATGACAATAACTCAGGCAAAAATTATTCAACAGGCAAATTCATTTAATATGCACAGGAACGTGAGGTACAGACTAATGCTGTGAAGTTCCATCATTGAAATTGCATAATTGGTATTAGAAGAGTAGTCCAGACAAAGTTTAAAAATAAAAATTATTTAAGGACCATAACCATAAAAAGTCAATAGACTGGAAAATGCCGATGATATGCACAACTAGATTTGGTATTCATCATTCCTGTTAACTTAAGACGGAATTGCACCAATTGTTTCTAAGCAGTAATCCGGACAAAATTCTGTGTCGCTGGCAACAAACAAGATTGCATTTGAGAAAAATGCTCTGCCACCGCATTAATACAACACTAAATAGTAGTGTAGGAACAGATTTTTTTGTTTCTATACAATTGAAGATTGTCATAATGCATATTCCCTGACCTATCTAATTCTTATTATCAGATTAGTTGTTAAATATATTGTTAATCCAATAAAAGATCAGAGTAGGAACATATCAATGCACTTGAGTCTAGTGAATTTGGTGGTGAAGGTCATATTTCACACTGCCTAAATTTCATGACTACATGAAAGGACAACACAGTAAGACACTTTGTCAAAATCTAGGTCAGCTGATATCAAAGTTCAGTTTACATCTCAATCTGTGCATATGGTTCAAATTTCATAGCTGTACATGAAAGGACAAGAAAGTAGGTCACATCATCAAAATCTAGGTCACCTGATATCAAAGTTCAATTTTACAACTAAAACTGTGCACATGGTCAAAATTTCATTGCTGTTCATCAAAGGTCAAGAAAGGTCACTGTCTCCTTGGGCAAGGCAAAATTTTGACCCAATGGTTTAATTCAAAACAATCTTGATACAGGTCCACCAAACAACATTTTAAGTTGTAGCTTTCTCCCATTCAGAAAACAATTGTTTATTTTCTGTTTTTACTATGTGTACATAATGAGAATCACTGCCCCCGGGCAGGGCCAATTTTGACACCAGGGGAAAAATTTTGAACAACTTTGGTAGAGGATCTATAGATGATATTATATAGCAAAGCTCTATGCCTTGTGTCTTCAGACAAAAACATTTTTATTTGTTTACTATATGTACATATGAAAATCTATGACCCCCGGGGCGGAACCAATTTTGACCTCAGAGCTATAATTTGTACAATCTTGGTAAAGGTTCACTTCGCAAAGTCTCATGAAGAGGTAAGAAACAACTTTAGTAGAGGACCCATAGATGATTTTATATACCAAATATCAAAGCTCTAAGCCTTGTACCTTCAGACAAGAAGATTTTTTAATTTTTTACTATATGTCTATAGTGAAAATCAATGACCCCTGGGGGTGGGGCCAATTTTGACCCCAGGGCTATAATTTGTACAACCTTGCTAGAGGTTCACTACACAATGTTTCATGCAAAATATCTTAACTCTAGCCTTTGTAAATTTAGAGAAGTTGATTTTTTAAGTTTTTACTATAAACACATAAGGAAAACCTATGGCCCCCGGGGCGGGGCTAATTTTGACACTAGAGGCAACATTTGAACAACTTTTGTAGAGTACCTATAGATTATATCATTTAACAAATATCAAAGCTCTAAACATTGTACCTTCAGACAAAAAGATTTTTTGATTTTTTACTATATGTATATATTGAAAATCAATGACCCCCAAGGCAGGGGCAATTTTGACCCCATGCTATAATGTGAACAATCTTGCTAGAGATTCACTTCACAATGTTTCATGCAAAATATCTAACCTCTAGCACTTGTCAATTGCTAGAAGATTTTTTTTTAAAGATTTTACTCTAAATTTTTACTATATACATATAAGGAAAAGAAATTACCCCCGGGGCGGGGCCGATTTTGACCCCAGGGCTATTTTTTGTTATTTGAACAATCTGGGTAGGGGTCTACAAGATAATGCCTTATGCATAATATCTAAGCTCTAGGCCTTTTGGGTCTTTACAAGAAGGTATTTTAAGTTTTTACTATATGTACATATAGTGAAAATCAATGACCCCCGGGGCGGGGCCGATTTTGACCCCAGGGCTATTATTTGTTATTTGAACAATCTGGGTAGGGGTCTACCAGATATTGCCTTATGCATAATATCTAAGCTCTAGGCCTTTTGGGTCTTTACAAGAAGGTATTTTAAGTTTTTACTATATGTACATATAGTGAAAATCAATGACCCCCGGGGCGGGGCCGATTTTGACCCTAGGGCCATAATTTGAACAATCTTGGTAGTGGTCTGCCAGACAATGCCTTATGCAATATCTAGGCTCTAGGCCATTTGGGTCTTTACAAGAAGATTTTTTAAATTTATTCTTATAATTCCTTTTGGTTGCCAGGGTAGCCAGATTTCTGCATAGAATGAAATTCTTTGAATAACTTTGGATGCCCTTCACCCAAGGATCAATCCTGCCAAGTTTGATTGAAAGTGGACTTGTGGTTTTTCACATGAAGATTTTTTAAGTTCACTATATAATCTATAACACACACACACACACACATTCACGCACACGCACCAACGCACACACGCACGCACGCACACACACACACACACACACACACACACAAACAAACACACATGCACACAGGTGAATCGCTATATGCCATCGCATCGCAGATGCTGCGGTGGCATAAAAACAGCCTTTTAATTGCAGGGTCATAGCTAAAAATCATTCAACAGGCAAAATCCATTTAATATGCGCAAGTGCTTGAGATACAGATCAATCTTGTGATAGTTTCATCATTGAAATCGCATTAGTGGTATAAGAGGAGTAGTACGAACTTGATAAAAATCATTGAACCGAAAAATGAAGAGAATATGCATAACTAGACTTGTCACTGATCATTCCTGTATGGATGATTAGTTTGGATGAAACTGCACAAGTAGTTTCTGAGGAGTAGTCCGGACAAGTTTTATGACGGACGGACAAACATACGGACGAACGATCAGACAGACAGACAAACGACGGAGATGTGATCCCTATATGTCGCCACTACTTTGTAGAGGCGACAGAAAAAGAGCCTTCCGGGGTTGAGCCAATTTGATCCCGGTGGTAGTTATTTAAAATATTTTGAAATGATATCGTGAAAAATAACCTTTCCATTAAGTGACTTTCAAGTGGAGCTTACGTTTGGCTTCAGTTTGGTGATTTATTTAACTTTTTTAGTCTAGTAGTCAATACTGCAGCTTTAGACTTTTATAGAGTCTGATGAGATATTTTTATTCTGTTTTTTTTTTTTTTTGGGGGGGGGGGGTATGGGCAAGGCCGGTTTCGACCCTAGATATATGGTGTATAAAACATCTTAAAGGCACTTTTATTTTTAAATGCAAAAATATATTACCTCATCTTTTGCTTTTTCAATAAGAAAAAGATCTTAAACAAACTTAAACATATATAGACATTTCCTTTGCAAGCAAATTTGAAGTCAGCTCCATGTCTCGTATGACTTTTAAAGGCTAAATAGACGACTCTACATCATAATTGTCTAAGCTCTTCGACATTTTGTTGTTAGAAAATGTATTTTAATATGGTTTAACATGCATATTTGGATTTGGATATTTGGATCAATAGTGTTAAGTCTGACTAATATATCATGTAGTTTAAGAAATGATTTTCTTCAATTTAACTGCGAAAAAGACTAACGGTTACGGACATAGGGAGATCACAAAAACTTGGATATATCAACATTGAGTTTTATGTTTTGCCTAAAAGGCACATACTCAAACAATTCACAACATATTTTGATCTTTGACAAAAAGATTAAACATTTCTTTAGCGCCGTTTTCACGTTTTGCCAATACGGTTGCGTATAATTAACTAAGTCCAATTACGAAATACATGTATTAACATAAAATAATACTTACCTATTTCTGGAACAATTTTTTCACCGCATGTTGGACATACGAGTGGATTCAAATGAGAGTTTCTCATGCATGGCAAACACACATTAATCGCAATATAGCATTGATCACCACAACATTTGTGAGTTGACAAACCTTTGTTATTTTCGACTGGAAAAGGATAAATTTGCGTGAATAAATTGGAAAGTAACATTTAAATTTAGTCTTTTGAAGCTTGAAATAATCAAAACTCGCGTTCTATATATAATAATATATTTAAAATAATAATCTAACAAGCAATAGCATTTCAAAAAAAAAAAATTAAGTCGACTGTTGCCACATAAAATATATTTATTATTAACCTGGTGATGGTGTTAGTAGTGGTGATGATTTCGTTCAGGGTTGATTCACAAAATTAAGTTGTATTATGTGCTCGATCCCGATTGACACAGAGAAAGCGGTGTTAAAAAAAAAGAAAACAGTCGTCGGCGATTAACATTCTGGTCAATAAAGTAAACACAAATCAAATATGCGAATAAAGATCAACAAGAGAAAGCAACATTTACGGACGCAGCTCCCACAATGAGGAACCAAAAGGGCATGACAAACTAATGGGGCGCAGTAGGGTCAATCAACAACCAAACGAAACCCAAGTAAAATAAAAATAATAATAATAATAACCATTGTTCAAACATGGAAATCTAAAATAATTTGTACGGTATATTGCAAAAAGAATCCAGGGGAGTTAATGGGCCCATCATTCTCCTAAATACGAGACAATGATGACTTTACAATTGTCAGTGCAACAAAGGGTGTGATTAATGAACATATTAATAATAATAAATGCACATAAAAAGAAACCTAATGACTATAATATAAGAACTTAATGTCGGACAGAAAATCGTCACATGGTCCTTTTAAAGCTAGCTGGTAATATCTCGGCGGTACCAGTAATTACCAATTTCTCTGAATGTTACATACTTCTAATCTCACTTGATTATTAGATCAGCGGTGAGAGAAAAATGACCATAAATCCAAGTGTTAGACATTTACCTCGCCCGGGAATCGAAGCAGCGACTCCTTTATAACAAATTTAGTACTATCCCTACTGAGCTAAGGGGAAGAAATATTTTTTGTAATGTATAGATATCACGGTATATCATGTCAAAGATTCGGATTTTTCTAGTTTGCTTTGTTTAGTTCTTGAATGCATGTTATTTTGCTTCTAGATTGTGGTACATATGTCTATTCCGGAGCCATATCTACAATGCTCAAGTGAGCGCTAGCCGTAACGTGTGTTCACGAATTTTCATACATGGCTAGTTGCACATTTTTTTGAAAATGGGATTAACAAAGACTTTAGGGTTAAGTGCTAGATGATAATGTGTTTTGAAAAAATACCGGCAATTTCTTTACTCAGCAGTATTAGGGCCACTGTTTCATATAATCTGGGTCAGCTGCTTCTTTGGTATTGAGGTAATTTAGAAGTTTCAGGAGGTTATTCAGACGTCCCATGATCTTCTATTTCGAACCTATGACACCGGTATTCGGAGATAATGTAAATATGCTTAGTATAGAAAACTAATACATGTACGGAGTACAACTACACTCATCAAAATATCTGTGAACATTATAGATGACGTAAATCATTAATATAACAATCATCATTTCATTTTCTTAAACTATATGCAATTGGTCCAGTTCTATACAATGCCTGACCTCGGAAGTTCCCAAAAACTTATTTCATACCATCATAAACAACGAATAATCGAATTTTAGTAAAGTCAAGGGGCACTGTGACCGTCTTATGAAAAAAATATTCGCCCGTGTTTTGTGCAGGTCACTTGGGTTCGATGTAAATTTGTATTTTTGTTATGAATATGCATATTGAAATGCATATGACACTCCAGGTTTTTGAAATCAAGACACATTTCAAAATAACATAAAAACCATTTATATGGATTCATTTCATAGAGGATTTAATATCAGGACCAAATTATTATTTCATTCAGTTTATTCTACATTTAGATCAAAAGCGAACTTGGACTTATATTGTCGTTATATCAGCAGATAGTTAGTTTATAAATATATACATATTGCGCATACCCATTACACAAATTCATCTATTCGTCTATTTATGAGTGTATATTCGCAACTTTTAGTTAAAAACTGTCAAAAATAGTTAGTCCTAGGCGGGACCTGCTTAAAATGACATATAATTTATATGGGACTGTGTCAAAAAAGATGGGATATTTAAGAAGGTTAAGCAAGGTACCGGCTTTAGCTTATTACGACCCTAAGAAACCAGTCAAGCTCTAGGTCGATTTAAGTAGTAGAAGTCTAGAGGTTACCTATCTCAGAAGTGATTGCATCAAAGACATTGACTCAGACATACATTGGTTATGCCCAAAAAGAGAAAGAAATGTCAGCAATTCTGTTTGGTTTAAAAAGATTCAGGCAATCATGCTATGCAGACATACAGTTGTTGAATGCGACCACAAACCGATTGTTTTTGATATGAAGACATTGTATGACATTGAAGTCATTCTTGTAAGCGGCAAAAAAACAATTCCATAAGGCGATACATTGTCACGCAATTTTGTCAGTGACACGTTCCTAAACTTGGGTTTACACATATGTGCTGTCATAAGTGACATGAAAATTAAGCAAATCCGTTCAGCCACTTATCAAACGCTGACACGGACTATACTTGATGGATAGCCCGACATTAGATAGATTGGTAGACTGTTCACAAACTGTGTTATAGTTATGGGAGTCTTTAAAACTCGTAGTCGTGCTAAGGATATAATGTTTTGCCTTTTTATGGGAAAACAAATAACTGACCGTGTGTTATCTAACCGATTATATTTTACACATAGGCATTCTAATGCAACAGATCCACCTAAATCTAATGACAAGCAAAACGACCATGGCAAAATATTGCCTTGACAATAATGATTATCTCATAAAGGCCGACATGTACAGTAAACATTTTGAAGTAGACAGGTTAGAAGGCAAGAAAAGTATAAAAGTCATACAAACATTAAAAGATCACTTTTCTCGCTTTGCTCAAATTGACTGTTAAAAAGTGACAGTGGCCAATTGTTCACTTTCTGCTTAATTTTCTAAGTTTGCAACAGACTGAACTTTTATAAGACGTGGCATCCTCCCCAGGAAGTAGCCAGTCAAATGGTTTTTTTTAAAAACTGATCTCTGTATCTAAAACATAATGAAGAAATGTTAAGCTAGTAAAATCGACCAATATTTGCCATTCATAGATTATAGAAACACACGCTCGATTATGGCTATTCACCTGCCAAGTTATTTATGGGAAGAAAACAAAGTGCTCAGTATTGCCTGAAATTTCAAAAAAAGTTATCCAAAAGTCATAATACGATAAAAGGTCAAAATCTATCCCCTAAGTAAATATATAGGTGATTTGTGCAGAAATCAAAACGGTTAACAATGGGACCAACCGTGATCATTGCAATTCAATTTGAAGGTCATGCAGTGAAAAAACTAAGGATAATTTAAATTACAGACGAAATAGGCGTTTTCTCCACAAAACCCACAAAAACTGCGCAGACTTCAAGAGAATGTGTGCCAGATGTAAAAAAATATGAGCAAAGTCCTTCATTATAATTAATTACATAAGATAATGCAACTTTCTCTTTCAGAGCCTAAATTTCAACAAGTACTTAATTCAGCCAATCCCACTATCCCCCAGAAAAAAATATGAACAAAAAATAACATTATCGCATACGCAGTCACCTAACAGGTTGTTCTGTGACAAACAATTGTTAAAAACAATTAAAAATGATGCATAAAAAGTATTAATGAATATATTAGATTCTCGACTTTTTTGCAGAAAATAAGAGATTGCTTTAAAAATAAATTTACTTATGAATTGTTTAGTTTTTATATGACGTGACATCCTCCCACGGAAGTAGCCAGTCAAATGGCTTTTAAAAAAACTGATCTCTGTATCTAAAACATATTGAAGAAATGTTAAGCTAGTAAAATCGACCAATATTTGCCATAGATTATAGAAACACACGCTCGATTATGGCTATTCACCAAGTTATTTATGGGAAGAAAACAAAGTGCTCAGTATTGCCTGAAATTTCAAAAAAGTTATCCAAAAGTCATAATACGATAAAAGGTCAAAATCTATCCCCTAAGTAAATATATAGGTGATTTGTGACGAAATAGGCGTTTTCTCTACAAAACCCACAAAAACTGCGCAGACTTCAAGAGAATGTGTGCCAGATGTCAAAAGGTATAAGCAAAGTCCTTCATTATAATTAATTACATAAGATAATGCAACTTTCTCTTTCAGAGCCTAAATTTCAACAAGAACTTAATTCAGCCAATCCCACTATCCCCCAGAAAAAATGTGATCAAAAAATAACCTTATCGCATACGCTGTCACCTAACAGGTTGTTCTGTGACAAACAATTGTTAAAAATAATTAAAAATGATGCATAAAAAGTATTAATAAATATATATGATGCTCGACTATTTTGCAGAAAATAAGAGATTGCTTTAAAAATAAATTTATTCATGAATTATTTAGTATTTATATGACGATGATATATTAAAAGAAGTGAGATGTAGTCATATCAGCTGTTAGCTATACAATTTGCGACTACTCAGCAACATTTCTAACCATTAGATATTTTAGGAGAATAAATTCACATCTTATTGTGTATATACGTGTTTGTGTCATATCGCTATCTTGTAGTCTATTTCCAAAAATCAAAACATTATTAAATGATATGAGGTAATAATTTGAAGGCACTATACCGATGTTTTTGAATTTGACAGGAAAAGATTTTTTTCTGAGATTTGTGTACTATTTGATCAAGGTCTGAAACAATAACCTGTGTGCAAATTTTCAAATTATTCCCCACCAAGCTTTTCCACAATTATCATTTTTTATATTGCAAAAAGACGCAACAATGAAAAGCGTTGCACTCAAATCGAGCTAACAATTGCATTAATTAACGAATATCAATTTAAATCGGAGTATTATTATTCTTTGTAATATTTAAAGTGCTTGATCTGATCAATGTTAAGATATCAAATTTAATGTTTTTATCATTTTTGACCTAAGTATAGCTCCTTCAAGTAAACAAATCTTGATTTCTTTAAAAGATATTTACCACAAGGATTAATCATGCATATATCGCATTTTTTTCTGAGGTCTCTTATAAAGTCTTCCTTCACCTGCAAGATATACATTATAACAAAATAACTGGAAATATAATTATAAAGCATGATTTATGAAATAAGTTATAAGTTAGCAAAATAAAAGTGAAAAACAGTATTTATCATAATATATGAGGCCATAGAAAACTCTATTTGATTTTTTCTGACATCGCTGTGCTTTCGTGTTGATGAAAATAATGTTATCCAACTGTCCTATGGTATGCTAGTGTCAAAAATATACTTGTATCTTCCTGAGGCCCCCTATAATTTAGCTGAGAAGACGTTGTTTATTATTTAGCGTGGCTTGACTTTAAGTTAACAGCAATGATAAGAAAATTACTTGAATATGTTATCATTTGTGTTGTTAATTAGTTAAAATCTTACTTTAACAAAAGAAAACACCGAATTAATAAGTCATAAACCGTGGTTGAGTACGCTGTGTTTCATGTTTTTTTAATCAAACATGATTCCGTTCGACACAGTTGAACATTGTTTTCTACTATCTATAGATTTGATAGTCTAAACATCTTATACCTAGGGATAATTTATATTGGTTTCATCGTTTCATAATAAGAAGATATTAAAACGTTTATTTAGGTCCATTTTAGGACTTACCATATATTGTTCAGCAAACTTTATCTCAACAAAAAAGTGATGGAGGAAAGTTGTTTATTGATCCGCGCCCATAGGCGCGGAACTATTTGTGTTTACTATTTTTGTGTCCAAGGACCCGATTTTTATCAATTAATCCCTTCGATTTACAGCTAAAAATAAATTCGGAATCAATAATTCCTTCCGATTTCTATTAAGAAAAGTCATATACTTGTTTCCCCTTCGGTGATTCGCAGCATGTCTTATTAATGAATGAGAATGGGAACAAGTTTCACGCCTTCACCACTGCGAAGGCAGTGTAAAATACAAAACAAAAAATAAACTCAAAGTTGGTAATTTATTTCTTACATTTGTATCTTCTACAGGAAATTATTAATTATTTTGTAGTACATAGTGGGTAATTTGTATTTTAATGCTGTACATGAAGTCGAAAGCTATAAATAGATAGATGACATTAACATTTTGAAAATCCGAATATATTATTTATATTATAGAAGTAGTTTTAGTTTAACGAAACGGTCATTCGTGTCGCGCTATGGTAATAAGTAACGAACTGTTGATTTTTGCAGGAAATGAAATGCAAACATATTCAAACAATAAATTGCACTTTTTATAGATTTATAGAAAAGAAAATATAGGGTTTTTACGAATTGTCATATCATAGTATTATCATTTTGAAATTGTCTTTTCCGTAGGTTCTTTCCGGTTTTCTTTTTTACACCCCTGATTGCACTTTTTAGACATTATTTTACCCTGAATATTTAAACCGACCTTGTTCTGGCTTCCATAACCTTTTATGTCGCTTTTATTTTGTAGTTGTGCGACAGTTAACAGGTCTAGCAGTAGTATGCTATAAAACCTATTCTCTGTTCAAGTCTCTTTAGCTAAAATCGACCATGATTTCCCGAATTTTTGCTGTTCTATATTTTGTTTGAAGGCAATTGGTTTTATGATAGCTTGAGTTGAATGTTGATGTGCTTGCGGATGTTTTAAAATTCAAAATCTTACCATTTCATGTTTAAATGTTGAATTCTGATAAAACCGGTGCTAGGGTCGTAGACGGTAGTTTGCACTTGACAGTACCGTCCATGAACAGGCTCAATCAAACCAAGCCTGCAATATTTTCAATTTTGCCGTTTTGGGCTTCATTTAGGGATTCTTATTTTCTCTATTTTGCCGAATATTGTGACATTTTGACAACAGAAACTTAAACTTTCGTCTGCAGTTTTAACATGAGTTGTTACTAGTTTATTGAAAGGAATGTACACACGCTGGTGAGACAGGGATTTTTTTAGCAAATCAACAAAATTGTAAATTGACCTCAAAGTAAATCAATAACCAGACTTTGTTCATGTTGAGTACTGTTTTGTATGTTCCAAACAAAATACATTAAATATTCTTATCTCTATCATTCCTACCAAAGTTCATGAAGAACAATGTCTTTCGTCCGCCCATTCAAAATTGATATAAAAACTGGTAAAATCCAATTAACCATTGAAAACTTTATTAGAATATCTGCTCACCAGATGTCTACTAGTTCATCTTCACTTGCTGGATTTCTTGCTTAGATACTCTTTGATGCTTTGCATCAATGCTTTTCTTGTTGTATCATGTCATTTGCCGCGAAACATGTAACGTACATTTTGAAAAATAAAGTCAATGAACATTTTTGTTATGGCTTATTTACATATAGATATTTCTTACCACGATTAGTTGTTGTTATTTGTAGAAAATGAGTAGCATTATAGGTGAAAAGAAAAATGTACATGCTTTGATATTTTTATCATCTAATATAACTCTCTACAGGTGTGACACAAACAGAACAGTGTAGCACTACTGTCATGTCACATTACAAGTCTTGTAAGTTTTGTTTGTATTGGAATTACTTTCCTTACCAGGTACAATCTAGGCATCAGTGAAAGCATATTTTTTTTTTAAATTTAATATATGGCCACTCTCTCATGGACAGTGCATACGATAAATAATTATGCAAATTTAAATGATTTACAAAACATCCGGAATAATGTACAATAGTACATAATCTAAATGGAAAATGACCTTTGTGTAGGAATGATTTGGTAAGGTATAAGGTATATGTAATGAGATCATTTTTTTTTGCACGGAGCTTCTCATTTGCTGCATTGTTGCAACATTTGTACTTGTATACTAGATTGTTTCAGTGCATCTGACAGAGTACGACCAGTTAAAACAATACAGATTTTAGTGATGATTTTAATTGGTTTGTGTGAAGAGAAAACGTATTTTCTTCGTAAGATTCTGATACCATGAAATGTTGCAGAAATCTTTATTTTTGCAAACGTAATAAGTTATTATGTAGGTTGATACATTTATATAAGTTCATTATAGTTTGGGGTAACGAGAATAACATCAATACCGACATGTTATTATAATAACGCTTGATAATATGTAATTCGACTTTTTATTCTTACTGCCCGCTATGAAAAGTATAAAAGAGCGATGTACTTCATGTGGAATTTTAAGTAATTGGCTAATCCGTATTCAGCAATTTACAAATTAATCGGAAAAAATAACTGAAATAGAGAATTCTTTCCACAAAATGAAAATAAAAATCTTGTAAAGCATCACACATGCCAAATATATGCCAATAACGTCGTTTAGCTGTAAAACATGTTATGTAGGTTCTGTAAAACATGTTTATGTCATATCCGCTCTCTTCGTTTTCAAAGTTATTTAAGTAAATATTTGCCGATATCTCATAAATTCATTAAAATAAATATAACTAAAATGGTCATGACCTATATCTTTTGTTAAAGAAACAATATATCTATAAAATAAGCTACTGCGCAGGAGTGTGATAAATACGGAATATTATGTTGTAGTAGCTTTCTGAGGCTCTGTATTTTGCTACGAGCAGCGGTGGAAAATTAATATCTCGCGAGACCGAAGGTCGAGCGAGATATCAATTTTCCAACGTTGCGAGTAGAAAAATACATAGTCTCAGAAAGCTACTACAACATAATTTTCCTTTTATTATATACCTTTTCGTTTTATTCAGAAAATGAAATGTAGTTGTCAAGAAATAAATTCATGACTGACGGATGAATACGTAATTCTTGCAAATAGGCCACGCCTTTAATAATTTTGGTTCCCGTTTCCAAATGCAACGTTATACAAAGCTAAGATCGGAACCAACGTCAAAAATAGTCCGGCACTTCCATATATGGTACCGTATTTGTCACTAACATAATACGGAAATTTCTATCCGTTGAAGCGTATTTGCGCTTCAATATTTGCGTGTATTTTAGGGAGAAAATTTATAGGTATATAATAATTAAATGTATCATATCACCTTAAATAGCTGCAATCCCATTGGTCAAACAGTAATCAACAGACAAAATTATAAATTATAAAATGTATCACATTATTCACCATTTAAACAGAAAGGACTGTCGGGTGTATTATAACACGATAATATTATATGCATGTTACAAACAATGAAAGCTTACATGCCGTTTGACAAATTAACCAAACAAGAGGGCCATGATGGCCCTGGATCGCTCACCTGACACAACCGCATCCAAGCAATGTCTTAAACAAGCATCATGACCAAGTTTGATGCGACTGAGTCAAACATGTGACCTCTAGTGTGTTATAAAGATTTTTCCATATTTAGGCAATGTGACCTAATTTTTGACTGGACACAACCCATATTCAAACTTGACCTAGAAATCATCAAAACAACCTTCCTGACCAATTTCCAGGAAATTTGGATAAAAACTGCAGCCACTAGAGTGTTAAAAAGATTTTTCTATTTTTAGCTCCTGTGACCTAGTTTTTGACCGGACATGACCAATCTTAGCACTTGACCCAGAAAACATCAAAACAACATTCTTGACAAATTTCCAGAATATTTGAATAAAAACTGCAGCCACTAGAGTGTTAACAAGCTTTTTCTATTTTTAACTCCTGTGACCTAGTTTTTGACCTGAGATGACCCATCTTCGAACTTGACCTAGAATCATCAAAACAACCTTCCTGACAAATTTCCAGAATATTTGAATCAATACTGCAGCCACTAGAGTGTTAACAAGCTTTTTCTATGTTTAGCTCCTGTGACCTAGTTTTTGACCGGAGGTAACCCATCTTTGAACTTGACCTAGACATCATCAAAACAACCTTCCTGACAAATTTCAAGAATATTTGGATGAAAACTGCAGCCCCTAATGTGTTAACAAGCTTTTCTATTTTTAGCTCCTGTGACCTAGTTTTTGACCGGAGATGACCCATCTTCCAACTTGACTTAGATATCATCAAAACAACCTTCTTGACAAATTTCCAGAATATTTAGATGAAAACTGCAGCCACTAGAGTGTTAACAAGCTTTTTCTATTTTTAGCTCCTGTGACCTAGTTTTGACCTGAGAT